AATGACTCGCGGTGGTGTACCGATGTATCGAGCCAGTGCTGCTATCCTCCCAGGCAAGTCTGGCACCAATTTGCCGACTCCGGAGAGATGGAAGGCTTGATGGGCCATAAGCAAGAGGATCGATTCCACGTGTGTGTTGCAGGAAACCTCATACCAATGCCCCACACGCTCATTTATAACATACGTCCATATATATGTTCTTACGAATTGCCGTCGTTGAGCTAATTCAAGGTTGCTAGAAGTTGTTGCTGCTGTTGTTGTTGCTCTTGCTCGATGGCTGACGTTTCGTCTACTTCCTTTTCCTCAGTCTTGGTGTTTCGAGTTAGACTACCTGTGTGCTGGTTACGTGGAATGTGTAGCATACAGAGTATTCCAGATGTTATGCGTTAAACAACTTATCTGTGGTCAGAAACAATAGAAACAATTAGCCTCTTCATCGGATTGAAGCCAGAATGATGAACGACTTACTAACTTTTCCGTATTAATAAATGGTCTTATTCCTGCGTCTTTTATCCTTAAGCTTCACGTGGGATTTAAAATGTCGTCTTGTAAACGTCCCTTTTTGTATAAAAGATTAAGGAGCAAAATTCTAGAAGCCAAATCCTAACGCACTGCGAATTGGGACTTGTTTACATGTTTAATCCGGTTGGGGGCACACTGCTGTTGAGAGCATCTACGAAAAACGACTTGCCGATTATTGTAGCACTTTTATAACAACTTTCACTTTCACTTTCACTTTCACAATAGGAAGAAAATCGAAATTTGAAAAGTTATAGATAGACTGCTCGTAGAGCATACGAAAGTTGCCGCTCGAGCATGAGTATTTCGAAAAGCCTAGGAAGGATTCTAAATAAATAGGGGCAATAGGACTAGATGACATCGTAGAATTTGTGGAAAACTTATGAAGCCTCACAGGACTTTACCAATAATCGTCACGATTGTTTTCTGGTCTACGGTAGGAATGCACGATGTATCAAGAAGAAAAACGGCAAGGGTAATTTACGACATTTTCTCCAACCATTGTAGCAGCTACTTTCACCTCACTACATGCCTTATCACGCAGATGGATGTTTCATTGACGAGTGCCTTCTCTAAAAGTTGACCTGCTCTCTCGTTGTTGAGGAATTCTGCTAGATAATGAAATCTGAGTCAGCTCCAGCGTCTGAAAACCCTCGTGTCCACTTTCGCTCTAATTCGGATTCTGAAACACCTGTTTGGGATGGTGGAACATTGAAGGAAAAAGAACAATATGAGTGTGTAAGGTTTTAAAAAAAGATTTTGTACTATAGATTATATCCACCTGGCAACAAAATTCATGGAATTACTAGAACCCTACGTCACGACGCTGTGTTTCACAGTCGCCGAATGTGTTCAATTGGTACGAGAGGCGCTTACTGATTGGTTAGGAAATCGTGGGGCTTCCAATTTGTTTAAAAATGCTCCACACAGGTTATATAGAGCGCCGTTATCAAAAGTTTCATAATTCTAGGCGGACATAATAATCGATGTAAAATGGGAATTCGAAATGGCTTTAGCTCCTTGTCAAAATGATTGAGTTTGGCTCTTGACGACGTTATAGGATAGTGGAATGGGGAACATTGGGCTAAGCAGGAGACTGATAGTTACTTACTTTACTAACATCCTTCCATAATATGAACGTTAGTTCAACAAAGTCGGTATTTTTTGGCAACACGTGCGGAGTGAACGATGGTGGTTTGAACCTAAAAAAAATAGCTCTCATGGAAAGCGCGCTTTGTTCCCGATTCCTCATGCGAGAAAAAACACCTCTACTCTTTGCCTAACTCGGCGACTTTTGTGTTCCACGTTCACCCGAGTATTAAACGAGACAACTGTGTAAGTGCGATAACGTATCACTGAACGTTATTAAGCCGCTAAAGTGTAATTTTGTTAGAATCTCGTAACAGAGAGGGAATTCAAAGTTGTGTGAAGTACAACCGCAAGGATGCTGAAATATGAACAAAACTAGGGACCTCAGATACGATCTGAACTCGTAATTACCCTTAGAGAGGCATATGTGTTATACACCATTCAACCGAGGCCTTTGTTTTTCACTTCTCTTAGTCACGTTTTTACCCAAGTTTTTATTGCTATTACTCGAACTTTTGTGATTTCTAACCTAAATCGACAACCCATTGATTGGAGACGCTGTCCTGTCAAAAAAGCCTAGTTAGATTGTTTTCTAAACTGATTTCGAACACATAATAAGACCGTAGACTCCGTGGTCTGAAAACTGTAAAACAAGCAAAAAATCAGATTATCTCCACCTCGTGGACGCAATAGGAACAAATGGAGGTTTACCTAGCGCATATCGCCGTCACTCGACTATCAACGGCTGGATAGACATATGCGATAAACTTTTCATAGTGCTCAACTGAAGAAGAAGCACGGTTTGAATGGAATCCTTAATAAGTGCACAACTCATTTCACGACGTCATACGAAAAGTGGTAAGTTGACCGAATTTAAAGAAAAGACACAAAATCAACAGGCAAAAAGCCCATGATATCAATCTAGCGCTGTCAAATCAATTAGTAGCAACTTGTAAGCAGAAATTTTCTCTAGACACAATAATGTGATTCCTAAGACCGACTTTCTATAAACCTCACCGATTGATGGCACTGATAAGCGATTCGCAGCCTTTTTGACAAGCATAAGCAACTTTGTTACTTTATTCTCTATTTGCAAAAAGCTGATGTTTCGGCTGACTTCGGCGATTTCTGGGGCTGGAAATATCAAGTTGACTGCAATCTGGTGAACCGAATACCTCCAAAAAACTACGAAAGCCAAAATGCATTACCACTAAAGAAATAGTTCCTTCGCGCACTTACCGCTTTCTATGTGTCTTTCATTCAGTATTTCAGGCTGAGACCAGCCTCACAGAATTCATATAGAAGCGTCACACGCCATTGTCATGTTAAAATATTAAGATGTTCGGTAAGATCACTCGTGACAGCAAAGCATTCCTTTATGTGGTCCATCTTTGTGTTCGTGGAATTTATCCAAAATGCCTCTACAACCTAACGTGCTGAAGCCTTAGATTCTTGGGTAAGATGGTGATTTTTGCTCGAGAATTATCTCCATTATGCTTTCGCGTCTTACTCCTGCCTGTCGAGGCACTTGGTCTAACTTTAGACATGCAGATTAGGTTTTCTTTTATAAGGAGCTATCATCATCTCTTAGAGCAAATTATGCAAATTTGGGTCATATCTATAAAGCCAAACAGGCGGGCTGTGAACTAGCTGACGTCTTTGAGCATGGTGTTTCAATCACTGCCTCCGAATTCTCTAGATCGTCCTTTTATAAACAAAATTCTATACCTGCACTTATTTCGTAAAAAATGAAGGGAAAGAAAAGCAAGATCTTACCATCGCTAGAATTATCGTTTGATGGCTTGGCCTTTCTTCTACACTTACCCCGAAGACCTATAGTTTCGTAGTCATTGGAAATGGCTATTTTTCGCGCCAATTTCCGGGATTCCTCTTTCGTCGCTCTTTTTGTGCCCATCTTGGCGGTTTTTTGAAACAGGTTTCTCACTGCGCTCTTCTGTGTGTGAGGCATGAAAGAAACAGTGGTATGCCAGCATGGCTTCTTGCCTTTCACTAACACTTCGTGACACAGGCGTTTTGGAACTGGCTGCTTCGAACTTCTAAATGGAAGCCATTTTTTCTGCTTTTCCGGGTAAACTTAACGCACTTTTGCTTTTATTTTTGTGAACTAGTTCACAGATTATCTGAAGACTAAGAAGTTAAGAAGCTCTTTTAAGACGAGTAGGAGCTGCTGAATTGAGAAGCCGTACATGTTGGTACGAGTTCTTGTTGCATAAGGAGTTCGAGAATATTTTGCATAGTGGAGTCATTCGGCACGTTAGGCTTCAGTGTTGAAAGACTCTAGCAAGTACGCGCTGATAGGGCGTGTTTACGTAGACGTTCCACAAATATCTTCATAAGATGAGTTGGAATGTACTTCAGCAACTACGTAAGTATTAGGGTTGAAAACCACATAATTCTATCCGTTGGCCCGTCCACACAGCTAACGATAGGTCTAATCTTGAATAACGATGGACACAAGATCATTAGTGGATACTAACTTACGAGTTTTGTTAGGCAGGTAAAAGATGTGAAATGTTGGTAATTCGGCATTTAGTTGAAAAATACTGATAGTTTTAAACATCTGCTCCTGCCACTTTGAGCCATTGCTTGTTTAACTTTCGATATTGACTTTTGAATAGCTTTTCAGACGATAGGCGATAAAGGGAAGAATCTTCAAAATGCTTTTTCGTTACCTCAAAATTCCACTGAAGAATTACCGCCAATTTTTACCCCTATCACAAACAGATAGTCCAGTGTTTTTAACCTTATCAGCCTTCGAACCTTTCGAATGCCAGATATTTATATTTTTCGAAGTTTGGGACGAACCCTCATTGCTGGAGAATGATTAGAGACTTTGAAAGTTTTGTCCGCAAATATCTGAAATTTTCTACCAACTGCATTGTTGGGGCCTTGTTGTGTAAAGAACGTCTGGAGAAGCCACGTTAGTGATGAAGCCCTTACTTTTTGTTTTTCACACCTATTTATTGCTTTAATTATTGCTTTGTTACAGAGTAAATTTTAAACATTAAGCAATCTATATGCGACTCCATGATACCTTAGAAATGGGCTTGTTTAGTCAGTGTGCTCACATAAATGAGCCAAGTTGACCTAATTTGCCTGATCAAGTGATATATTATAGAACCATACTATTCTCTTTCTTCGATGAGACCTTTAACACAGATCGCAGTCATTTCTTCTTCGTTTTTTCAAGACATTTTTCATTATTTGTTTTATCTAACGTTTCAATAATTACAGCTTTTCATGTTCACTGAGGCTGGTCTTCTCGATTTTATCGAAAGCGTTTTCCGTCGCATCACTCGACCATCCGGTGATGATAATGATTGGTTGTATCCAGAACCAGATTGCGACAACGAGGTTTTCAAAACCTTCGGATGGAGTTTTTAAATTTGCGTCATTCCGCTGTGAATTCAATCAAAATAGTTTGGCCAGTGAAAATTAAGATTTTAGCAGCAGATTTTGTGCAGGTCATCAACACAGTTTCGAATTTTGACACACTAACAAATGGTACGAAAGTGTACAACCTGCTGGCAATCACCGACATGGACAAGGACGCCAAATCCGAGGAAGACTGGACGTGGCGTGCAGTGACAAGGAGTGGAAAATTGGTCATCACTAAGGATAAAAGGAACGTCTCGATAACTTGGAATCTGGGCTCGGATCGCAATCTTACCACGTGGGTTACCGCTTTGTTGTCACTACATTCTGATCTGAACTCAAATGATGGTGTGACAAAGTGAAATTTTTGATGCGCCCGAATTTTGGAATATTGCCACAGTATGATCTCGACAAACAATGCTAGAACTGGCACATTCTTGTAAACTTGAATGATGTGCATTGTTTCGCGCGTTTTCACTCGTGTCATTCTCCTTGTACTTGTCGTTTCTCGTCTATTGATAGCACGATGGCGTCTTTGAGTACTATTCTGTGATTTAATTAAGCAAGACTAGAGCATTCATGAGAAAAGAGTAAACTGGTGTAGAATATCGACATAACTTATTGTGGTTTTAAAGAACGCGTTTCTCGAAACTACTTGGTGGTGGCCAATATGTGATTGGAACATCTTGGGGAACTGAGACATATTGAGCACAAGTCCTGTGCTCATCTGTTCGCTAGCTGTTAGGTCACTCATGTAAAAATCCAAAGTTGCAGACAGGTCTTGCACTCTTCTCTTTTGGCGAGGCAGTTTCTTTTCAGGATGTGCCTAATTTATCACAAAGAAATCAGATCCAATATAGAGTAAGGGTACTGCAAAAGTGCCAGGAAGAATGGTCTCTGCACGATTCGTGCTAGTACGCACTTGTGATGTAAAAACGACATTTTTCCATTTCAGTGAAAGGCAAAGGACGCATTTTGCTGAACATAGCTCTGTATTGGCTAGCTCAATGTAGACTGCTCAGTATTCTTGTTACTTACACGGAACTTCGCTGTCGTCGCAGTCCGAACCTTATAATTAAACTCTTGTACACATATGCTTATGAACAATAGGCCAATGTTCGCAATCTAAGCATTAAATGTGGTTTTAACAATATTAGCATTGACAATATTGTGCGAAATCTTTTGTGATGTTTTGAATAAGTAACATAAGAAACAATAGGGTTACTAAGAGAAGTAACACAGCACCAGTGTTATACAAGGTATAACCGAGAACGAAATGGTAGTGCTTTGAGTGTTCACGAAAGTGGGCGAAAGAAGCGAAGAGATTTTATTGGCCATCAGACCAGAATAGCACGGAACATTTATAAAATCGCAAAACTCTTGGTTTTATATGCATTTAATTCGACAAAAGATATTTGCGTCCCTTCAGTTATTCTTTAAATTAAAATTTTAAAAAAACCGTATTCGAAAAATGGCCGTTTAATATTAACAAAGAATAAATAGGAAATAAGTGACAACGAAAAGTGACTACACAACGAAAACTTCAGACTAGCATTTATTAACCCATTAAAAAGTGACTACTGTGCATTTCACAGCCTCTCTTTAACGGATTGAAGGATAAAATCTCTAAAAGCTTTCAGCGTACATCTATCCCTGAGGGATGCACCATGCAATCGACTCCATTAAGCATCGATGGCGGTGGCTGAATGCACATCTGGCTTTTACAATGGCTCGCGGTAGCCTACCGATGTATCTAGCCAGTGCTGCTATCCTCCCAGACAAGTACTGTACCAAGTTAGTCACTCCGGAAGGGAGGAGAGCTTGGTGGGCCTGGCGCGCGAGGATCGATCCCATACACATTGCAATCGCCTCCGACCACTGCTTTACAAGCCCCCTTGGAGGATAAAATTTTAACTCGAACCCTTCTCTACTTTACCTTTTCCACTTTTAATCAATAGCATTTTAATAGAACAATGTTCTAGACATTTAAATGCAAAAGGACGTGCGATGGAGTTGTCGGATTTGTCTGAGTTTAATGGTCGACTTATTTCACCGGACGATAAGACAGGAATGCTCTACGAAATTAAAAACAATAAGGTTAATTCTGTCCCAAAAACTTTACAAATCGCTAGTTTTTTATGTAGTTTTTGCTGATATATAATTCTAGAATACTTAAAGAAAATTCTATACTCGACGAACTGGATTTAGTTCTAGTTGTGCTAAGAAATTATGAGCTATCAGTTTGCAGTAGCGGTGAATGCCATTATGACATTAATCAATTAGCTCGCTAGGCATTGAGTTTGGAATCTGTTTATTTAGCTATTTTTCACCTGGATTTTTTTTATTTATCCGTATGGGAGCATATAGCGCTGTGGTTGGAGATGCCTTATACAATACACATGCTTCGGTCGTGCTCCAGTGGCTCACCAAACCATTGGTGCTATCGCTGCTGCCATATTCGTACCACGTGTCTGGATAGGTAGCAGCTTTCACTTTATTGTTTAGTAGGCCACCCCTTTTACCATGCTTGATGAGGAAGAATGTTTGGCGCTCTCTTCAAGGTTTGATCAAAGCGGATAGCTGTACCTTACTGTTTTGTTCGACTGAAAAAATGAGACCAATTACAGTGGAAGCATCATGCATCATTACTAAATGTCATCGAACTTAAGCCACAAACGCGTTACCCACCACCAATTACTAAGTATTTTCACATCAAAGAGATTGTTAAAAACGAGTACTTTCGCATCCTTCAAATTGTCACTATTTGAGACTACCCGTACATCATATCTACAGTGCGGGTTCCAGCACTTCTCTCCTTCGATTCACCTTCTCGCATTCACCATCCAGAAAGGCCTTTCAATTTTTACGTGTTGCTTCACTGCTGCTTGGCGATTTTCCTTTCGCCATGAATGCCGTTGAATACAAGTCGAGCAGATTTTCCTGCACTCCTGAGATAGCCGAGCTAGAACGCTCACACTTGGATTGCAGAGGAAGAACTTTTGCCAGACAAGTCCGGCGCCAATTTCTCAAAACAACGTGATATGAAAGGCCTAATGAGCCGGGGAAGGATTAAACCAGCACTGTGCTCGTGATATCCTGTCACTGTGAAATCCTCACCCTGATTTCTAAATTTCCATTTTTACTACGTAATAGAATTCGGTCGTGTTACTTACGGTGGCTGATGCCTAAATGTTTGACTTATGTGCAAAATTCTTCAAAACAAGTAGAAGCATACAAACAAATATGTAAATATCTAAACCAGTGCAGGTCTTTTTAGGCGATTCCGTGGTTGTTCCTTAATTCTGGACCAGGTAATACCACACATGGGATGAAGGCTGAATGGACAACTATAAAAGGAAGATATCTCTACGTTGGTGGTCATGGAGCGGTTAGAATTACTGAAATTACTACTATTTTTTGCGTTACACAGTTTTTTAAAAGGACTAGAATTGAATTAGTTTTTGTTCAATATCTCATGAAAGCACCCACAAGACCTTTTAGCGTGTTATAGGAATACAGAGATAAAAATGGAACTGTTCTCAACACAGACGCAATGTGGATCAAAATTGTTTCCAAACGCGGGGAGGTAAGTCTTAAAGGCAGCACTTTTTTCAACGGCTTCCATACAACTAAACCTATAAAATAAAGTCTCTTTGTTCACAACGGTTATGTAGTGTTTTCGTTCTCATAGGTTTCCGTATGAGTCCTATTTGCCTACTAACTTATTGCAGCAATCAATAACTCAAATACCCTGCGTTCAATAGTTAGCAGAAGAAATAAAACTAGTTTCCTTCTCTCTTTCGTAGAAATTCCAATGATTTCAAACAGACCGCCATTTAACCTCAGCATCAATAATCAATACCTTTCCAGATTATTAATTATTATTATCGTCGCTAATTATCGTATTTATTACTAAGTGACATAATTTCAATTTCTACCCATACCTTTCTTAGGTAAGAAGCATTGACTGGAAGGGCGTCTACGGAAGGATCCGTAGAGCTGTCAATATCACTGCACCCGGTTATTTAACTCACGAAGCAGTACAATGGTCTCCACAGCGCCGAAAGTGGTTTTTCCTTCCAAGAAAAGAATCGAAAACGATTTACAACAGAATAGAGGACGAAAGAAAGTGCGTTTTAACTAACGAGAGACTTTTTAGCCTGATTAGAACAGAATTTTTCTGTAAAAATTGAGTTCCAGGGGCACCAATCTGCTAATTATCGCAAATCCGCTTATCACAAAGTTTAAAGTTGTTAGAGTAGGAAATCTCACGCACCCTGAGCGCGGATTTTCGGCTTTCGAATTCATTCCTGGAACGGAAGACCGGCTTATTGTGGCGCTGAAATCCGAAGAAGTCGACAACCAGCCAACAGCGAGTTACATTACCGTGTTTGACATTAACGGTAGTGTCATTCTCGATGATCAGAAACTCGAGCAACAGTATAAATTCGAAGGCATCTACTTTGTTTAAGAGTAACAAGACATGCAGTTTAATAAATTATTCTCGAGTATCTTCAGTCAATAAATTGCGGTGGATTCAGAATTTGCAGAAGCAAATAACAATGCAGTAATTCACTGTTTTCTTGACAGAGATTACAGTATTACAAGCTCTCACTATTTACTCATCCAAAATCACTCCATGTGCTAGCGAGGAACCAAAAAATCTGAAATAATTTCGACGAGTAATTGTTCAAATAACGTCCTCTGACTTTGAAACTGATTCTTGAGAACACTGGCTGGTCAGCAAAGAAAGCATATTCGACCATAGAACACAAACGTTATTGCATACTGCACTTGTGAAAATTGACAAAGGACTTTCTATGCTTGCATGTTTAGTTAGAGGACCCATTTTTACGAGCTTTGCGGGCCCATCCACTCCTCCTCTTCCATGGTGGTGGTTTCATTGCACCATGGTGGCTAGTGTGAGTCTAATACCGTGATCTGCAAAACAACCGTAGCTACGGGTACGGCTGGTTAACTATAGTTATCAACACGTCCACCTGAGACGACTTGTTGATGGTCGCCCTAATAAGACGTCCGCATTCTCATGGAGGCCGTGCCACTGTTTTTTTCCTCGATGTGTTATCTGCTCTTCATGCTACGTTACTGGTCCGACTGTGTTGCACTGGCGATGTGAGTTCCCATGGGTTTCGAAGATGAGAAAGATTTTGCAGATCAGCGCTTCAAATTTCGGCTAAATACTGTGTGTGCTGGTTATTTCGAAAAAGATCACTCAAGCGCTCTTTGGATTGTGTGCAGAATTCTTGACGTAATTGAATTATCAGACTACGTTTCTGCTGTATACCAGAGCGCTGGTAGGAACACTGCAGCGAAAAGGTGATCGAGGAGTTTTGGAACAGCTATTTGGTGGGTGGATTCTTTGAAAAACTCGAATGCGGTTCAAACTGCCATCCTCCTTTCTCTCCTCCACTTTTCAATTAAATTCACTAATGCTAAAGGCAACCGCCAACTCACAACCGAACTTGCGAAACAGTGCAGACAGGCGCTAAAATAAGATCTAGAAGAAAGAAGAGCAGCAGTTGCAGTTTAAGCTGCAAAAGTGGGAGAAAGCGTTCGCAAAATTCACTGCAGCATCGCCAATTACGAAACCAAGGTGATTGCATTCCAAAGTCCGAGCGGAGCAGTTACAACTTCCAAAGGCAATGGAAGTCATGATTGCTGCTCGGATCTCTTCAACAGCCTCGCCCTCCGGCTTTCATATAAAGTAAACGAGGATGGATATATCACTGCGCTGGTTCTCCAATAATTCAGCAGGATTTTTCGTCGGTAGGAATATCTCCGAATGCACCAGTTGAGTCTGTCTAGGACAGGAAATCAGCATGATAAAACTTCTTAGCTTTAGAGTTCAGCAAAAGGGAAATAGGGGCTTTGGGAGTTTTCAAGAGCAGCCAGAAACCTGGTCGTTGCGTAAACAGGAAGAAAAGTCACTCGGTGTTATTAAACCTACAGTCCAAGGGTCGATGCTTGGAGTATCCCATGTAACACGAGCAAGCGAAGGTAACCGAAGCTCTGAACTGTGTCAACGATCAGAAGTTAAAGATACTGCTCTAGACGTCAGACTGTACAAGATAAGGTCGATTGAACATTTAAGGAACCTAATCGACAAAAACTGTTAGTGACTGGATTTCTCGGGATGTCGAACGTGCTACAAGAAGACCATCTGCTCGATGTCCAGAGGTCTTCACGAAAAGCCGAGAAGGAAAGAGTGATGCTCAACGAGTCCATTGAGCTTGAAGAACCCATTGGGCTACCTTTGTACGCGACAGCGAAAAATTGAAGATTTACTATCGCCTGCTCGAGTTACTCGACGACCAACGGTACGACTTGTTGTGCAGGTGATTTCGAAGAAGACTAGTGTAGGTTTTTAATGCTCAACCATTCGCCATAATTCAAGCGGAGCATGTACCGTAAAATATTATTAATTTCTAAAAGCTTCAGGTGAATCTACTTTTTCCTATCAGTAGTTAAGTCTCTATGAAACTCAATGTTTTATCAACTGTATCGGTCGACTAACCCGACGTATCTCTAAAAGACTAAGCGTATTTATTCATATTCTTGTTCGGCAAATAGATGTGTTATTTCATTTAGTTTTGACACAAGCTGACGTTTCAGCAGATTTTTTCTTGCTCAGAACTTGGAAAGCTCAAGTTGATCGAAATCTATCAGGCCAAACATCAACCTATTACGATCTACAATCTACCCTTATTTGAGCTTACGCGAGGTTGATAAGTGTATTTATTTCGGCTAAAGATTCGACGTCTTCATTTTCATCAGAGCCAATGATCCGTGTCGATGGTCCACAGTTGTTCGTGATCTCGATGTGACGTCTTTATTGTCGTATTTAGAAGGGATCCTCTTCACTGAACACCGAGCGAATGAGGCGTGCTCACCGGGCAGTGCATTTTATACAAGGCAATTGTGGCTGATATAACTGTCTGTTGATAATAGTTTGTTTTCTAACGAATAATCCACTTTGGAGCTTTTGGTACTATGTTAGATAGCACAACGCGTATGAAAATGAAAAGGGATAAAGCTCTCAGTGTTGATCAATTTCTGTGGGATATGCCTTGCATTACGCTTCATTAAGGTTTGGAGGTGATTGAAGGCATGTCTGGCCTTTACAATGACTCGCGGTAGCCTACTGATGTATCGAGCCAGTGCTGCTATCCTCTCAGACAAATCTGGTACCTGCAAACTCGGAGGCATGGAAGGCTTGATGGGCCAGAAGCGCGGAGATCGATCTCTTTAGTGTTACAGGACTCCTACAAGCACGACGCCACACTCGCCCACAAAGCGAGTAGCAAAAAAATTTTCAATCCTACCGTTATTTAACCGCGGTAGTAAAAAAGTCAACATTTCCAAATTGCTGTCTTCATACGTGGTTGATAAGCATTTTTCAGGTGTGAGGGAGAAGATCAACATTCGGAATGTCATAGAATGCATTACAGCGACATCTGACAGACAGGAACCATACACGAAAATGGTTCTATGCGATGCGAAATTCCAATCTGGGACATGACTGGCATGTTGTTTGACTTTTTTATGATGATTTTGAAAAAAAAACGTGGTACTCTTTATTCTCTTTGAGGAGGACAATGGTTTGCAACATCGCCGCTGATATATTCAGGCGTTTGAATAACTCCGTAGTTTACGAAATGACAGGCGGTACAGGTTATATATATTGTGATGTTGGCCTGTAATTTACTTCTTTGTTTTATGTTCCCTACCGCATTGTTAGATTAAATTTTAAGTGTGAAGCTTTCGAAATCGCTCAGGAGGAGGTTTGGAGTGTTGATCGGACAAGAAGTTGTCCATCGCCCAGAATTCAACAAATTAATTAGGATGAGTGAGTGGTACTCAGTTACGGCTTTTGTACAGCAGTTCTACATATATATTAGAGTAAGTAAATTAGTACTGTTTATCTATAGCGCTTTAGCGTTTGGTGGGCTGTTGTATGACGACCTTAACAAAACGAGACAACTTAGTTATTAGCTGTAACCTCCTTATCGAAACTAAAGAACATGCCAACATTTAATAGTTGTGGTAGTGGACCGTTGTTCTGTTGCAGGCTTAGACAGCTCCAATATTACTTTACCTGTTGAAGATTACCCAAGGCGTTTACGGTGTGGACGACACACTGTAAAAAAGCGACGAAATAAACCTATTCATGAGCGTTCTGGAAGTCCTTCTACTGTCTAATTTTGCTCCACAAAGTTACAGCCCACTGACAGTTATGCCGTGTTTCAAGCTACCCCAAAAGTGATGACTGTTTTTACACCACCTATTTAGAATTCATTTATTGTGAGTGAAGAAAAATTCTTTATCTAATTTTAATGATGCTGAGATATTTGCAAAACTCCTAACCGCAGGTGTCTGCCGTGGGGAACGAGCGCGCTATTGTCCTTTCCTGGGAGTAAAACGTTCACCACCACACCATGCAGCTCCTTCATTTCGCCTGTCTCTCATCTAGTTTTAACGATCTTTTGCCTTCAGCAATCACCCGTCAACGGGATTGATCTGGGGAACTCAAATCGGCAATGAACCCAGTTAAGCTGAGGTTGCAGTTATAACCACAATCTTAGCTGTCCTATTTACTGATTACTCTTTTAAATGGCAGGGTATATTGTGCGTGTGGTGTGCGAAACTGCATGATTTGAGCGAAAAAGCGTAAAAATTTATTTAAAGCAGAACACCAATGTTTAATCGACGCCATGCATGGCGTCGACCTACGTAAATGTTCACGAGAGATAACATATCACACAAGTCTGGCGATAATGTCAACGAAGGAAAAACAAGAAAACCAAAGCGAAAAACAGTAAAAGAATAAAAAAAAAAGTAAAAGGTAACAACCTTCTTGATACTATGCAATGGTGGCAGCTGGATGTACAATGCACCATCAGTACTACACATTCTCCCGTAGAATATCAAATAAATAAGACTAATTCCAAAATTCTTTCTATTTGTCGTTATTTTTTCCCACTATAACTCAGTAGGTTATGCACTGTTGCAGTTTTAAAAGAATTCCAAATTTGATTGAGAGGTAGTGGAACCCTCGTTGTGCACTTGATATACCTTGCAACTTAGTCTTTAACTTCTCATAATTTTCTTCTTTACCGACTTTGTTAAGCCCAGTTAGATCTATTACCTACCTATGGCTAACTGGGTTTTCGAAAAATGATGTCGATTTCTTTGAGCTTGCTAATCTTGGATAGGGTAGGTTCTTAGGAAATACCTGTTGAAAATCGCAGTTCTACTTCGAAGAACAGCGGCCATCTACGGCAGAGCACTAAGCCATTCTTGTGAATTGATATGCTACGCTCCGGAATTTCTACGAATTACCTGAAAAACAATTTTTCCTAACTGATCAACGTTGAGGAATGCCCTGTCAAAAGACTGTCTCGGAGATCATAGCTTGTCATGCAAATGAAGAGTTAACCCGGTGTATACACC